TGGCAGTCTCCTGCATTTATTCTGAGACTGCGGCTTTGTTTTAGAATAGCATGGGGTTATAGGAAATAGCGGCGAACAATTGCTCTAACCTTTAGAAGAGAATCATGATATCAGACGACTCAATAAAAATGATCAACTATACAGGAATAAGAAAACAGTCTATATCAGTTTTATTCATAGCGTTCTATACAAGAGATGCATGCATGGTGATGCAATTTAAGCTATCTAATCAACAAGAAACATGGCTTGAGTAATGATTGTGACAATCAATCGCAAAATGTTAAAAACTGTTGGCATTAAGTGGTGATTCGTGTTTGATTTAAGGTATTGACTTTGGTAATAAGCAATTAACGTGGTGTCTTGTTCCACTCTTTTGTAGATTTCGAAGATCGATAAAAAACATGATCAAAGGAAAATGAGGAACACGAGAATGAAAAAATGTAAAATCGAAAATATTTACAAATGATTTGTAATTCCGGACGTTTGAGGAGATATGCTACCAAAGCATTGTCCTAAGGAACCGTCGTCAAACAAAGTCGCTCGTAAGTTCAGCCGCTGGCGAGTGTCTTTGCGGTCGTTTCTCTCTAACAGAGCTCACCAAACAAGCCATGCTTCCGTTGTTGTTAGGTGTTGAGCTCAAGAGTGATGGAGTGGATCCGCCAAACAGAAGGGATGAAGAACGACCCAGATGCCTGTTTCCAGCCTCCATGTTGGCGGTTTTCATCTGTTGAAGCTGACCATAAAGTTTACGTATCTCCTCCTGAAAATCAACAGGTGACAATTTGGATCAATGTCAGTATCTGAATAACTGCGCACCTACCCCTCCCCTGACCCAAAATTAGCCCTGACTTGTTATCAGTTGATAGTTGTCTGGTTAGGGTAGGGGTAGGGGGCGCAGTTGCGTAGATACTGACATTGATCTGACAATAATTTCAATAAAAGGGTTTTTTTAAGCTGAGTTATTCATTGTAAGTTTGAGTAGGTTGGTCGGCGCCCCCTTAAGGCTCCTAAGTCACAGTTTGAGAATATTTGATCAATAATTTCTTATTTGACCATTTTCCCAAAATGGCTCTTCAGGGCCAATCGTGATAAGCAAAAGCAACAAATAGTACAAATAACATAAGATCTTCTAGAATTCCTCGAGGTTTCGCAACATTGTAAATTTAGACTGTAAATTTTTTAGCATAGTTACGATCTTACTAATGCAAGCTTCATACTCTTTTGACCTCAGTAACCGTTTGGAAGACCTAGATGTTTTCCATAACCCACGATTAAGGAGTTAGTTGTAAAATGTGAGAGCAGATTATTCTATCAGAGCACTTCTGGTTTTCAGTCCCCTAAAAAAAGCGTGAAAGTTTTGTTAGCGACGAACCCCCAATTTCCGTGACCTAGATTTCCCATCACCTTTGCATCCCTGTAGAAGGTTAATAGACTGGAAACTTTTTATCAGTCATTTTAGCGATGCTGTTCATGATGTTTGGAGGGGGGGGTGTGTGGAATAGACCATGGAAATGGTTTTTACTTCTATTTATACCTTGTGAGCTCACAATAATTTGGAAAGATGACTTAAATAAACACTTACTTTAAGATCTTCATTTTCTTGGCTCAAGTTCACCGTCCCTTCAGAGGACTGTCCAGTTGCCATATTGAGGGCAGCCCCTTTTATAGACGCAATCCTACCACTAGTATCAAATACGTCTCCGCGTCCCTTAATCACACGAATAATCTGCAAGACAGCATTAAATTATGTAAAAGTATGTACAAAAACTTGTGTAGATATCACATAAGAGAGAGCATGGTGATCTATTCAACCCGAAACCTATTCCGGTTTTTAATGCACGAGGCGAGCAGGAGTATTCTTACTCCTTCTGGACAGGATGCCTGGTAAATAAAGGTAAACACCACGAGTAAATGAAAGAGCAAATATCACTATTTCGTCGGGTATTCTGGCAGTTCCACTTTATAATCGCGCATGGAGATAAGTCTTGTAAGAATGGATTGCTTTTCAAGGAAACACAAGAGAATAAGTGAGCCAGCTAAGGCTCGAACCTGAAGCTCTCGTTGGAAAGGAGCGAGCCATTGAAGCCCTGCCTACCCTCCCACCACCCAGCCCCCCCCCGCCCTACCAAAATAAGAGAAAAAAAATTTAAAAAATTAAAGAAAAGGAATGGGAAAAAAGAAAAAACTAAGAAACCCGATACTGGATCTCCTTATCATTCCCGTAGTATCTCCTTTACAAACGGTTCTCGAATCTCTACCCCGAGTGACTCTGGCAAACGATCACAAAGAGCAGAGGTCTGGTGAGTCCCTTCCCCCCTGGGCAAGAGGCCTAGGCCAGTAGGCAGGTTCCCGACCAAACAAAGTAGGTTAGAGGAGGAGGCAGAGCTGTTTAATTTTATCCTATCTTTGCCACTGCCACCATTGTGTCCTCGCTGTGCTCCTACATCATTTAGTCCTCTTCGAAAGAAAAACAACAACAATCAAACGAAAAGCGCCCAAGCAATTTCTTTATCCCTTTTAACCCTAACATCAGTATGCATATTCTCTATTCTCTTCTCTATACATTTCTTTAAGTGCCTATAGGAGAATTTGTTTAACAATCAGGAGCTTCTTCAGTTGGTGATCATTTTCGTTATTCTTGTGACCTTCAGCTGTGATTTAGCAGTGATATTGTCAGGAAAAGTTAGATACTGGTTACTCTTAGGAGTCAAAAGGTTTAAAGAAAATGTTTTTAGCTTCTCCTCACTAAGATCCTCACCTTGGGAACAAATACGAGCCCAACCAAAACGGACACAGCAAGCTGAACTCTGAAGAACTCCAGCAGGTAAATCATATCAGGTCCCGCCAGGTCCCCAATGAAAAGCCTGCAATAAACCACAGGGAAAAAGGTTTTTCAAATCCTTCAGCTAAAAGATGTCAATTACAAGTAAAATAAATCATGATAAAACAGAGGAAATGGGTAAACTGCCCAAATATCGGATTGCTTACTAGTCTTAACGTCAAGTAAAGCGATGATCTGAAATTTTAGCAATTGTTGAGAAGGAGACTGAAAAATATTCCGACCCAGGCCCCCCAGATACTAGTCGGGCGCCTTTACCAACTGAGTTACTAAGCCACACGTCAGGAGCGAGACACATTTTGGAGGTCTCTCCTCTACACCTACTAGAAATTATCTTTGCATTAAACTAAAAGTTTGTCTTTCCTTTTCTGAGTCTGTCTCCATTGCTGCAGCTGTCCTTATTATTTTTATGACTGCCGTTTAAAAGGTTTTTCAGATTGTTTTAGAAAGCAGGTGTATCATCCCTCAGCCTTTTTCATACTTTGTTACATCACCAGTTTGCCAAGTCAAAATGTCCTAACGTCTGTTCATTTCCTAATCTGCTTTTCGTTGTGCGCTCTAAGACAGAAGACTGAAGACTGAGACCAATGGACAGAGTGTTGGGAAATATTTTGCTTCTGATCGCGTGGTCTGATTGTCCGGGTCAGATCAGCTCAGGGGAGGACTTAGTGTTGTCGGTATAAATAGCTGACGTTTTGAGAACCTCACTCATTATCACAGTCAACTAAAGAGCTGTTTTTCAGTCAAGTCTCACAAAGTCTGTTCGTGAAAGTGACCTGTCGGTTTTGCCTTGATGTTTTCGGCTGCTTGCATGGATGACTCAATTAGCCTAAAAGGTCGGTATAAGATTAAAGGGGGCCTTTACTGAAATCTGAGCACGTTTTCCATTTTTAGATAACAAGGATAGAAAACTTCATCATAAAAACCGAAAAAATGATGACCGCGAGTGCAAAATTAAGGGAAATTTTTAAATTAGAAGACATCTGTGCGTGGACAGAAAGCTAAAACACTTAATGATAGACAGCTAAGTATTTCACTAAAAAGCCGGTTATCTCTTGGACATATGCATTAAAAGGGGCTGGATGGTAATTTGTGAACAGATAACTTAAAAGTTTTTCACTTAGTGAGTGAAATCTCACGAACGCACATGACATGAATAACAAAATGGTAGTTTTATGATTTTGAGCACGTAAAATGTTGGCTCGATCGCTTTGAGCTCGTCTGAATGGTCCTTCACAAAGTTTTTTTTGAAATAACTTAAAACTAAACCTCCTTACCCTGGCTACTATAGCCGGAACTATTTGAGAGATCAGCTAAATGCTAAATAAAGCGCAATAGAAAATATTGCTGTGGTTCACCTGCTATAAGGCTTCGTTTAAATACGAAAATTTGAATCTGAAGAGCCAAAAGTACAGCGCAAAAGTGCTGCCTCGCAACCTCTATTTGAGTGAATGGCTTCATAACAGCGGCGTTTCCCTAATCAAGCGGCCTTCGCAGTTAAGTTTTACAATTGCAATAGCATCAGAAGCCTTTTTATTAGAGAAAAAAACCAAACAGTTTCGAGAATATTCATAAATTAATTGATAATTTTCCTCGTCAGCTGCACGGAGTCCTAACTATCACTTGAACGCAAATGCTGACGCACATTGCTTGTAATAAGGCAATGGATTACGTAGGTAACTTGACAATCAGCGCAAACAGATGCATTACCTTAAAAAAAAAATTACCCATTCACTTCTGTATCCTAAGCATCCATTTAAATAGAGCCTTAAAAATGTGACACTTCTTTCAACCTGCGAAAGACAATGGCTCGGCCAATTTCTAAATAGTCACCACAAGGTCCCCAAAAGGTACGGACAAAAATCTGCGCCGTCACACGCAACAAAAGTATTCGAATGTATTAAGGGGATTAAATTTCTAAAGAAACTGTGGTGTATTTTGAATTTATCTACTGACTTGATAATTTAAATTGGCCATTGTAAAGAATTTTTTGAGCTGACGTTTCAGGCCTTAGCCCTTTGTCCGAGAGAATGACGAAAACCAATTAAGAAAAAAAACAAAAACAAAAACAAAAAAAGTAGCCAAATAATCCCTAAATAGTTTCCCTCAACTTCAATTAAAAATTCATATTCCTTGAGCAAGTTTGCTTTCACTAGTTTTCACCAAGGTTTCTCTAAGGTTTAGGGTTGGAAAAGGATATTAAAAAAAAGTAAAAAAACCCTAACCCTAAGCAAAGACATCGAGAGAATAGAATACAACACCCTTTACCGTGTTCAACCGTACTGCATGAGGTTGCCTTCCAATTAAACTTGACATAGTGTGGCTATATTGACAATATCTATTGTGACTCATGTTTATTGAAACAGCCAAAACGCACAGCGGGCACGAAATTAAAACCATTACCAAAACCCCAACAAGTAAAAATGCATCATGAATAGATTTTAAGCTTATTAAACTCGCTTCAACGCGAATGATGAGCGGTGCACTATAAATTTCAGAGAAGAAAAAGGCAAATATAGCAAAAATAATTCGAAAGTATTCGCATGATTGCCTCGCCTTACAAAATTATACGAGCACTGAAAACGAAGAATTAATTGACTGTTGATACGGGACCTTATTGCATATTTACAAGAACGTGCGGCCTGTCAGAAAGTGACGTTCCACCTGTCAATTTCCGGAAGGAAACCAATCAAATGCTTTGAAAGACCAAATAACTTGATTAATTATGTTTAAAATAGAAATCATCAGTAAGATTTTTACACCTTAATTCTAGGAAGGAAACAAAAATAAGCCCAAATAAATAAATTATTATAGGAAAGACCAAATAAAGATTTCTACCAAGGCTGTGTGGAGTATAGGCATACGTTTGATTCTGATAATAACAATAAATACGAAACAGAACTAAAGGAAAATAAAAGATGAATTTCCAAGGCTATCAAAATAAACGGTTCATTGTCCCTGCCATATGAATTATTCCAAGAGGAACTAAAGTGAGTTTGTACCTAAAAGTTTCATAATCCAACCATTAAATAACTTTAATTCACACGGGATAATATCTTTTATTCTTACAATAATCATTTATTATTAATATTATCATTATTATAATTATTATTATTATTGTCATTAATACCATAACTATCTATTAACTTACATTATAATATTTTATATTATACAAGTCTCTTTCAAGAAATTTTTGTTAGGGAATATGGAAAGAAAGATAGAAGTATGGAAACTTTTTTTGCCTTTTTTATCGCTGTTATTAATTAACATTTATCTTACATAGCATCAAAATGACAGTGGAAATAATTCCTCCACTGCCTTTTAACAAGTAATAATTCTTGTCAAGCCAAAATTGTCAAAATTAAGATAAGTCTTTTCATTATTTCGATGAAATAAAGAAGATAAAAAAAAAAAAAAAGTTAAATGTTAAAATAAAGATTTGTGAAACGTGTGGGAGGAGATTGACTTCGGACACAATGCGTCGATAAAAATCATTACCCGGTAACAATTCTGCAAGCAAGTAAAAAAGTGGTCACGCGGAGGGAGAGTACGTGACAAAGGAGAAATTAAGAAACTTGCATGATGTAAAATGTCAGAAATACTTTGTCCGCTAAAACGTTACAAAAGGCCTCTCGTGCTGTAGATATGTTTATGCACGTCCGAGGAGCAATTCACATATTTTCAGCCACGAAACGTGATCGCGAATAGTGATTAATTTTTAAAAGTGTAAAGCACATTAAGTTGTCATTCACAAGATCATTCCGTTTGCAAGAGTTAATCACTATTGTATTAAGAAGGGTTGAATTATTCACGTTTGAGCCGAAGCTTGCGATCAACCAGTCAACAAACAGACCACAAATTGTCTTTTCTGTACATATTTTACAAGACTAAAGCATTCTTATAGGTCCTCTCTCAGAGAATAAAGGGGTAATTTTTTTTCCTCCCTTTAAATAAATGCAAGAGCTAACCTCATTTAAGGACAGCGAAAAAGTACTGGATTAAAATAGTTGAATTTAATGAGGAAGCTAGCCGGCTTAAAGCTTTCGTCTACATTCTTATTAAAGGCAGCAGGCAACGTCACCTTAAAATGGGTGTCGTTGCGAATTTAATAAAGATATGCCTCTAATAAAAATTCGACTTTGAAATAATCTTTTGGTAGGGTACGCAAACAAATAAAAGATACTAAAAAAGGTTTAAGATAGAAGAGATTAACACGGATTGTGAAAAAATTAGCCTAAATGTTTCCAGGTCGAAGAATTGCGATGTAACGCCCTAAAGTTCTCATTTAGGATAGAAGAGAAGTGTAAAAAACCGTCCCTGTGAAAGCCAGCGAATAAGTGTCGATTAAGTTAAAGGAAAACATTGGAGAGAATATTCCATCGTCGAAAAAAGGGTGTTTGTCAAAGGTGGATTAAAAGACGAACACATGCTTCAATAAAGGACACTGACGGAGAAAGTGACATGTATTTGTTCGGAACTGAGTGTTAAAAATTAAAAACATGGGCTATACAGTATTAAGGTTTACTTAAAAAGTTACTGATTCAATCTAGGTGTTGTTAATTAAAGTAAGGGCAAAATTAAATGGAAACTAGTCGAGTCGGCAAAAACATATATCGCGTACATTGTTGGTCGCGTAATACGCATTATTAAGGAACTGAATAACCTAAAATTAGTCACTCGTTCAATAAATAACAAGGACTGATACTCGTCTTCAAAACTGAGTTTTATTATATAGTTTCTGTACATGGAAGATTTTTCATTGTCACGAATAAATAGTTAACAAGAAATATTGCTGAAAAACCATCAAATGTACTTCCATGTTTTTTGTCAAATTTTTAATCAACTTTACGACTTGTATGCAAATTTGATGAATTTTTTTTTGTTAATTTTCACCGTTCTGTTTATTTCGTCCAGCGACAGAGTGGAATGAAGTAGGGCGGTTTCAACCAAATTATACGCGGTGGAGTTTCGTCCCCGCACTTTTTATTCCAATGTTTATCAGTGTTATCATTACAACTGTTTTGCGCGCTGTGGCGGTCGCGCGATTCTTTTTTGTCGAGGAGTTTTTCCTATCACCAAAATTGTATAAACTCGAAAATATTATCTTCGGTTTTAACAATACACCTTTTACGGCAGCTCGACAAGGAAGTTTTTTTTTTCTTCGGCAACAAAAAAGAGCTGTATGCATTAGCGATCACAAAACCCATTGATAAAAAGATTGATTTTTCAGACGATAGCTAGTGAATAAAATTTCGCAAACGTTTCCAATTGTAAAACGAATGAATGAACATATGCCGTCTGTTTGTTTAAAAGAAAATAGAATTCTGCATTATAGTGTATGAATATTAATGGAACGAATTTTGTATTTACATGCTTTTTGCCTTAGTTCACTGCAAGGGCCTTTTTATTGAAAATTCAACCGGTTTCCGCGATAAGTCGCTAAATAAACTCATTGCTAAATTGAACATTTTTAATTGTTGGCTTCTTGTTGTCTCGGTAAAACAGATACTCGCGTCTTGTAACTGCCCTTGTTTCCTCGTTATATTTCACCTTGAAAACAGCCCAATCGAAATTCGCCTCTCGTTCGGTGCAGCCCTGATATCGGCCCGTGAGGAATTGTGGCCACAACGCCGACCTGCTTGCTTGCTATTTTGGCCATTTTCCACTTTCTTCAAAGGGAATATCTGGCTGCTTTCCATATCCGATTCAGCAAGACATGTAGTTCACAAGGCAGCAGTTATGAAACCCACTAAAACAGATCGACAATAAATATCCACAAAAAAAATTTATCGAGGAAAAATTGCATCCTGTTCTCGTTCATAGGTTGTTCGCATTTCACAATATTCTTCGAGCGATAAAGCGAGTCCAAGAAGCCACGAATAAATTTAACGCGTCGATTCCACAAAACGATGTTATTTTCTGGTCAGTTTCACTGGTAAAACTTCAGTGGTTTCCAACCGGTTTTATATCACATTGCTTGATGCCCCAGTTGACACTGACGTGACGGCGTTGCTCGCTTTAGTTGGGTTCTCTAAGGCTAACATTATGTCATGATGCAAGTCTATATGTTTCTTGTGATCGGAATCACTCGCTGTTTGAAACATCTTAAGTTCGCCGATTTCCTGTAAAAGTTTCAAGGTGTCTGCATTGACCATTTGTATCGTCGGAGCGAGTGTCGCTTTGTCCTTTTTTCCCTTCTCCTGTGTTCGATTCGAACGCTTTCCAGATGCTTTATTCGACGGAGAGTTTTCCTTCGGAGAAGTCTCTTCGTCCTGTCGTCGAGACGGCAAGCATCCCATTATGCGAATTTTAAAACACTCTCTCATCTAGAGAAGAAAACATCGCGATAACACAACATTAATATTCAGTTTTTCCGCCGAAGAATTGGCATCCCAACACGGTATCCGCCGCTAAGCTCGGAGTTGTACTGATCAGCCTGTATTTAGTATTCGATAACATTTAATTATTAACCAACGCTAGCAGACGTGTTTGATACCGATGACGTCATTTCGTGTTATTGTCAGAGCGAAAAGTACAGAATGAAATTTTTCATGTTTCGATTTCGCGTTGCGAAATACGTATTCGAAAGTAGAAATTTATATTGCATTAAAACGAACAACAATGAACTTCAGAAAAGCTAGAAATTAAGCTGTGGTTTCGTATGAGTGAAAAGGTCAAAGTAAAAAAAAAGGTACATAATTGAACTCTATATTTGCAAGTCCCGAAAATCTTCGACCAATATTCAAATTGCATTCAAAGTTCATCACAGCTGATTCAATTCACACAGACATACACTGTGTCTTAAGGGTGATAACATCGCCAAAAGAGGATAGAACGGGCATAAAAATTTATCGAAGGCATATTTGTTTGAGTTAAATTAAAAACATCAACGAGTCGGTAAGTAATATTCACACAGTCAGTCACTCAGAGAGACATGTGTAATCAAACAAGATTAAAACCGCAAATAGAGTAAAATACATGTCCACACACATCTGATTTTAGGAGAGTTTCACGTTCAAACAGATATCGATGGCTGTTTAACAGAGGTTAACGGCGTACCGTGCGGACTTTGCACTTGCGAAAATTTCGTACAAACACAAAATCCAATTTTTAAAATAATGGACGAAATAATTACTCACACATTACTTTCACACATTACTCACCTTTCCCTTTGAGAAGTAGAAGAACAGTGTGGGATTCCCTTAGTTACGGCCTAATAGATGGCCAGCTTGTGTGTGCGTTTGAGTAAAGAGAAACACTGGCACTTCGTGCCAGGACGCACTGGAAGCTTTGATCCACACAAGAAGAGGCTTGTGAAATAATGAATGATTCGGTGCTTGCAATGAGTGGGCTTATTTATAAAAGACCGTTTGACGTCATAAAATTCTCTCACAATAATAAACACTCGACGGGGGTCACGCAGTTTGGTTGTCACTCACGCCTTTTTCAAAATATGATCCTCTGAAGAAGAAGAAAAACCGCACGGAAATCAAAGATTTTTCAGGAAAGATCCATCGACCATTTCCCCCCAGCATCTGTCAACGCTTCTTGGCGTTCCTTCGGACAAAGTTGGTCTAAACATGACAATTAGCTCGTGACGATATCATAATTATTCATTGTTTGACACAGTGATATTTTTAGATCGGATATAAAGGTTGCTAGTAGCCCGTGACTGCGAAAAAAGTTCTCGTACAGTCACCCAAGAGAATGAAGTAGTGATACGTTCCAAAATGCATTAGTTCCTCGTGGCGTGAATAGAGTTCCACCGTCGCGTGTTTTCCAGAACGTTCCATTGATGTAACGTTCTTTTCACCAATGACGTGCGTAACGAAACAATTAACTCCGTCAATGGCAAATTAAAGCAACATTAAGTTATAACTTTGCTCGCTGCTTCAGAGAAAGTGGAAGTATTTCACACGCAGAACAAAGGAGGCTTGTAAGCGATATAAGCCGTTTGGTGACGCAAGGGTTCCTTAATACATCGAAGGGCACGCATCGCCTCAATCCATACGTGTACACCACTTTCGTTCCATGATTCTTTGCCTCCTTCAGCAAGTTCGGAACGAGACGATCATTCAAAATGACAATGATGATAAGCGATAAATCAAATAAATAAACTTAACAATCACAGCGCATTTAGTTCAAAGTGACTTTACGCACTTATCCGCTTGCAAGTTTTTTTAAGATTTTCTTGATTTCGAAACATTCAAAACTTTTTTTTATTTAAAAAAATAAAGGGGCGCTGATGTTTGTGACAAGATGATTACTTAGCTTATCGAGTGCACTTAATGAACTTTCGATAATTAACGCTTATGCAAGGAATAAATAGAATTTCTAATGAGGCAGCTCAATACAAGACTAACCAGGAAATCCAAAAGCGATATCATTCTGTCTTTGACGGTGGAAACCCCTAAAAGTGTTAAATGACAGAACACCCACGCACGCAAACATTTTGCTTTCTCACGGTGACAGGTGGTAAGCCGGCAGTTTAAAGATTAAAAGCAAACTAAAAGCGACGTGGGATTCCCTTCCGTTTGGAAAGTACTGACTTCATGAAAGAAACCTTCATATAAGTATTGCGAACGATCAACGCAGGAAATGAGTAATATCTTACGTAGTGGAAATTCGTATTGTGGCTAAGAAAAGCGAAAATAGAGAAGGAAATGGTTAATCACTAATAATAGAGGTGCCAGATAAATTCCAAAGATTAAATGTTCGACGCGCGTACACGCCAGAGATAAAAAGAAAAAAAACGAATGAACAGACAAAAATATTGATGTGCTTTGTTTCATTTTGTTTTCAACAGATGATTACGTCAAATTAAGTGCGTAGCAGTGCCCATTATTTCAGTTCCACAGATAGTTGTATGTACCGAGCTGAAGAACGATACTTCGGTAATATCGTGGAGAAGAAGCAATTTTTTTCTTACAGCTTACGATTAAGATGACGATAATGTTTTAAAGAATAAGATATAAATCTCAAAGGCGAGATGAAACCATAAAAGATTGAAGATTGCCAAAGACGCAGAAGATTTATATGGATTATACAACTAACTTATAAAATTTAAGGCCAACATTTTTTTCTTGTAATATGCATAAACGGCAACGCAACAAAACCCCTTTTAGTAGTAACGTCGCCGAAGAAAAAGCCCTTATTGTCTCCATAGTAAAACTGAAACAATTAATGGCTTAGATTCCGGTATTTCCCGGCGCCATCGGAAAACCCCTGATCTGTTCTGATAGTCGATTTATGATAGAGAACAGAGACTTGTTTACGCGCACTTCATAGAAGTAAATGTTTGTCTTGATAAACACACGACTCGTGACTTCAAGTGGCTCCTTCAAATGATAAAATCGATTAAGTATCATAAGGGAATGATCAATGAAGGCAAAATGATCTATTACTATATTTGCAAACCCAGAGACAGTGAATCGCGATCGAATTCGTCAACAAAGGTTAAGTTCCAAAACAACGAAGTCTTCGGTGGATGAAACAATTCATCTTCTATCGGCATCATCAAATAAACACTCCTTAAATACTTCACTTCCTTAATAAACAGGTAACAATTTCCTTGGGTCGCATCCGCGCAATTATTATCATAATTATTTTACGAGTGAGTGCGCCAGAAGCGACTCCGGACAGCGGAAACAACCATGACAGCAGGGCGAGGGCGCTATGTAGTCCTTTCGTTGCTGCTTAGCAACGGTGCCAGTGCAAACTTGCAAAATATAGGCGGGTATCGGACAAAGAGCGGATAAAAATCGCGACAGAAGGGCTACTACAGAGAATTAGCGTTAAGATTTAAAAAACTTGCTCGTAGTACATAGTTTTAGATTGTCTCCAGTTTCGAGGTTGCTGTTGTAAGTATCCATCTGGATGTGTTTTCGGGGTTGTTAACTGTTGTTTATTGTCGTTGTTGTTTTTTTCAACATTCATTGCGACCAAACGCAGACTTAAAACGATTAAAACAAAGCTGAATGCAATATATACTGTCAAATTTAATCGACTGTCAAACTCTATTATCACAGCCGGTAAAACTCAGCGAACCAACTCCAGCTTTAGCTCGTCTGATCGAATCCTTAGACTACAAGAGGAAATCTTTATTAAGCAACCCCAAAAAAGATCAAATTCTTTATTCGTCTACTTTATTTTCAAAAAAGTGGTCATATCTTATGTATTTTCTCACAGAAAGGCGATGACGTCAAATAGTGACAAATTTTGCCTATGGGAACAAAGTCTGCCATTAAACCATTTTAGCCTTTGACTCTAAGAGTGACTGGCATCAAATATATTTTTACAGTATCACTTCTGATTCACACATTAAGGTCACGAGAACAAAGAAGAAGACAAACAAAGACGCTCTTGATTGTTTAACAAATTCTCCTTGTCAACATCTTGGAGAATGTATGGAGAACAGTATGGAGAATATACAAACTGTTGTTAGGGTGTATAGGGTTCATCAGTGAAACATGAGGTACCTTCCGTTCAGAAAATTAGTCAAAAACCACCTTCCTTTTCCGAGCTTCCTACATGGACGACAATCCATCCCGTTCACTCCCGAGATGACACAAAGGATGTATCTCATCAAAATACCCATACAATTCAAGAGATTAATATAAAAAGTTTATAATCATAAAAATTACAGTTTCCTCGATTGTGATTGGTTTAAAAAATTCCTGCTTCCCATTAATTCACTTGCCACGTTGTCATCGGACAGCTTGTTACAAGGCAGTTCAATAAGCCAATCACGTTGAAAGTTGTAGTTTAAATCAACCAATCAAATAATTAAACAATTTACGCCTCCTTTGTCAGTCTTTTTAATGCAAATTTTCCTTTCTTTCATAACTGGGCTATTCTTCTTTTCTCGGAAATTGTAATTTTATGATTGATTGTTAGAAAGATTTCGTTTCGTCCAATTCGGTCTGTAACCATACTCGTGATTAACAATCGATTTTGTTATCGCTCATATGATTATAAACCGAATTTGACTCCACTCAGTCCTGTTATCATCAGTTATAATCTCTTGTACAATTATAAGCCGACACGCGTTTGAACAAAGAAAAAAAATTGCACAGAGTTACATTGTTTGATTTAACATCAAAATCTCAAAGCAAAAAAGTAAAGCAGATAGTGCAATTAATTGATATTCAGATCTCGACAGTGATGGGGTTTTTCCAAAAATTAGTTAAATTCGACACCCTTCTCCGCATGTTGCTATTTTTGTTGTTTTTGATGTTGATCACATCTCATCCAAAAGTATTATCAGCACTTATTCAATATAATCTAAAATATCTTGGATCAAAAATAGATATAAACCAGACTGGATTGAAGAATGTTTTGTTACAGGAAGGAAATTACATCAATCAGATTGTATCATTAGGAATAGACAATTAAAAAAAATGCTTTTCTTCATAGCACGTAACCTTTGGCAACTAAAGAACTGATTTCATTGCCTTTGCTGGTTAATAAATTAGTGCCAGTCTTCTACATTTGTATCTACGACATAACTTGTTGTATACGATTAAGTAGCACAACGCAAACGTAAATACACCTGACAATCTTGTCTGAAACTTGTCTTCTGACGGCGCAGCAAATGGCTCGAGACAGGTTGGAAGAAAAATCATCTTTTGTTTAGGGTCTTTAAAAGTCTGCAACCAGCCTCTTCGAGAGAACTAGCTAAAATCTACCAGTTTTAAGGACTGAAAATTAACCATTCGAGTAGTCTCAAGAATTCTTTCTGCCAATTCCTTCATATCTCCTTTGGGTTCGAGGAACCAGCTGCTAAAATCAGTCGAAGCAATCTGTCCTCTTGTGCGCGCTTTCACCAACCCACAAACTATCAGAAATTGTTCACACTTATATCAGACTCGCATTAATTTTAGCAAACCGTTTTATGATAAGGATCAATAAAAAATACTAACATATTTTTTGGTTGATATTGTGTTAATATCACAAAACAAACAAGACCTTCCGTTGAAAGCTTAAGATAGACTGTCTCCAAGACAGCAACGGCAAACATAGAGGGGCCGTTAAAGAAATAAATGGTTTCGTTTATCGTCAAGAGGCTAAAAGTATATTGCTCGCATAGTGAGCTGTAGCGAGCGAAATACTGTGAGTTGGGTAGGAGTGCAGGTGTATGTCGTAGAAACAGTCAGAGTCCGCGTCGAGAAGAGAAACTGTAAGGTGATTTGGTTTCCCTATATTCTGCGCTTCCTAAACAAATTGCAAGGTGAACACGACACTCGAAAGCTTAGAAATAAATAAGGATCTTTAATTTGAGATCGATCGTTTAAAATATGTTAAAAAACGAATGAAACTTAGAACGAACAAAAAAGGCAGAAGTGGTAACATAGTAGTTCCATTCACAGTGAGCGACTGTCGACAAGAAGAGACTGAAACTATCGACCAACAAGTTCATGTAGTACTTTTGAAATGCAGTTGGACGTGAATAATCAAAGTACTGACTCCAAAGTCGTGAACGGACAAAGAGATCTTTACAATAGAGTACACACCGTTTCTTAACGCAAAAGAAGCGTAGTCGCAGTCTGTCCATGTGGATAAATTAAGCCGAAGTTTTGCAAATTCTCTAAGAACAAACTGCTTAAATCCTCTCGAACTTTATCCATCTTGGCTCTTATTTTATTCTTGCGTCTTTTTTTTCAGTTGGCGAACTCACCGAGCCTTCCACTATGTACTCGTTTCCTTCAACTCTTTAAACCCCGAGAGCGATCAACATCTAACTGCTCTTCACAGTCATACTGCTAAATCATTCATTAAGTTCGTGAGAATAAAGGGCATGATGGCCAACTTAAATCAAACCAAAGAAGCTTTGATTGTTAAACTAATTCCGTTCGTCACCGATGGAAAAGCACAGATAAGAATATGGGGAATAACAATGATGATGTCAACGTATGTAACAATTTATTGAAAAGTTCGACATCTGTAAATTACCCCACCGTGACGCCATGTTTACTACGACATTTTAAAATGAGTATTCAATTCTTAAAAACAGAGTCAATGAATGGAACCCCTGTTCACAGACATACAAAACATTCATTTTAATTCAAAACACCCTTTGGAGCGATGCCATCCTTTGCAAAGTTTTATCCTTTTCCTCGAAAGAAACGTAAGGAAAATTGTCCGTGTTTTGTAGTTTTTTTTCTTTTGTGGATAATCAAAATGACAAAAATAGTTGATACCCAGAGGAAAAAATCATTCGTAAGCTTACATGAAACTTGAAGACATCATCTCGTTTTCTCTTTCCTTTGAAGGGAACATTTGAATGAATCGTGGATCGAAAGGTTTAAAATTTATTTATTTATGCAAGCAAGGAAGTATCCTCTTACAACATGGAAACCATACTTATTCACAGAATAAACTTATTCAAAAAGCAAAATAAAGGACCTCGCCCGGCGAAGCATTCTTTTTAACCGACACGGTGAAAGTAACCAATACACTTATGAAAGTAATATTTCAATCGCAAAATCTTACAGCTGTTCTTCAGTAAAGAAGAAGTCTTAATCTTATGGTAGACTGCAAAGTGCAATCTATTCCTATCTCTCAGTGTGCGTGCCCACAGCCATACAAGAAAAGTTATTTTACAACGCGAAAAAAGAAAAACCTTAAGAGCATTCGAAACGAGAACATATCAGAATTCACCCACTTGAAACTTCGTTCTTAAAACCAAAGATAACTTGACTTTCTTGTGAACTCACGAAAACACTCGATCAAAAATAATCAGAGAACAGCTTTTGACGGAAGGGTTTGTGGACCAACGATGACGCACCTAGCGGTTTCCAGATTTCAAGATGCTCACCGCAAAATAGTTACTCACAAGAACACATGTAAAATGCCGCGTGTTGCTACATTATTGAACTTTCCATTGCATATTCAAAGATCTTCAAATTATTGTTGTATTTACGTCATGACCATCAAAGGTCATGAACCTGCATCAAGGATATTTCTTTATTTAGAGGACAGACGTAGGTGTGGAATTTAGCACGAATAACATCAACACATAGTTATATTTCAAAATATTAAAGGATATTACATTCAATCTTATCTTATCAAAAGGAACACTTTGCTACCCTTCTACATTTGGAAGTCGTCTGTGTGTACTTAGTAAAATGGACTTAACAAAATAATTCACCGGAATGGAAAGGTTCCAATATCTCTTAAACTAATAGAACCGATTAAAAACCGGCAACTTTTCCTTGCAATATCAATTCGTCATTTGGCAAGTAGATGATTGATAAAATGTCAGCCAGTGGGGGTTATCTCGGTATAAACCAAATTCCCTCTCTCATCAACAACGCAATATCTTCCTTTGCCAACATTACCAGCAGAGTCAACAACAGAGGCTAAACATCATTCACTCGCGATCTATCTTACGCCATTTTTAGGTTAAAAAAATGTAGTGAATTTGTTTCCGATGAAATCTGGGTAGAGTTCATACCCAGACCTTTGTACCGAGTATTGCATCTAACATGTTAAATTCGTTTGGACACCACGACCAACATCTTTCAATAAAGTTCAATTCAACAATATGGAATGATGTTGGATCCTTTAGGCTAATCTTTCAAAGAGACAATATGCTACAGAAACAATATCATTTTATCTTCACCATTAAAAATGTATGGAATGAATGACACTGAAGGCAGTTCCAGTAAATTCCAAGGAATAACCTCACCTTTCGAAAGTTGCCTTTAAGTGTGTTAAAAATTCGATTATGGAAGCTGTCATTTTGAATACTGCTTAGCAACCAGACAGCTTTCCTTTGACATCACAACCTTTCATCCAAGCTAACTTTTACTTTCTCTCGGTAATCTCTTGAACAATAAAGAGCTCCACAAAAGATGCTTTTGACCCCAAAAGTGAGAAAAAAAAATTTCTGTGTGTTACTTTGTTTACCGCGATGATCAGAGAAGCAGTTGTTTGGGAGCCGCTCAAAAAGGTTATGCGAGTGCGGCCAGGTTACTGAGTCTTGAAATTACTGAGGTTCGTGACTCTTTGAAGTCGCATAACGCAGCTAGTGTCTTATTTTCGTGTATAGGTAGAGAAATGGTTTCTGGAGAATAATTCTCCTTAATTTGAAGTAAGTAATAAAACTAACCATACCTCGTAATTTTGAGGAAGAAAGTGACCACAGTCAAATTGTAAATTGACCAACTGATAAACTTGCTCTCGTTGAAGGCGGATGGTGCTTTCCTGACGTTATAGCACAGGTGGATTCCCCAGAACAAAAAGAGTGTTTCAACTAACAAAGGCAAGAAAGAAATTCAACAAACTCTACTCAGCACTGGCGGGAAAAACGTATGCAAAATGCGGGAGGAGACAAATGATGGAGCATGAGATCCCTTTTCTCTAGGATATTATCAAAACGCGATTGACAAAAAGCACTGATGGTGAACCTACAGGCCTAAACGTAGAAAGAAAGTTACTTTTTGTAATTTTTGTTGTTGTCGTTGTATTTTTTTTTTTTTTTTTGTAGAGTGAATGAGGCCTAAGTTTAACTTTACATATCAAAATGGCATGGTCCCACCAGTCAAAGGAGCACTCATGGAACTTAAGATCCCTGGCATCTTCATTTCTACCACGTGACTCGGGCCGGCTAGTGACCAGGCCAGCAGATAAACCACGTACAACGCCAGAATGGGAGCGAGGCGCTGGAGAAGATGGCGATCAGTGAGCTTTATCTTCTGTGCAGATTTAACACGAAATATCACGGAAATTCTGCAAAAGAAAAAAATAGCAGAAAAGTTACGATCTTCGCAATGCATCATGCGGTAACTTCTACAAACTATATAGCTGAGATGCGATCGCTCTGATTGGTAAATTAAGTGCGCTATAGCGAAATTTGACCCACACTCGCATAAATCTTTACGGGCGGGCCAAGCACCATTTTGAGTTCACCCATAAATTAGTGGCACATATCGAGCGCTTCATCGTTGTGTACATAAACTCCCAAAATCTTCAGATAATGCAAGCTCCATTAGGAAATAGGTGGAAAGTGTCTAAGAAATCTGGAATAATTCACATAGTAATTAACAAGGCAAAAGTCCTTTTGATCTCTTCAGTTAATTTTTGTGCAAGATAAGGATGGAGAAGTCAAGTTTCTAGCCTTGGTAGGTTACCATACTCTCTTCGTTATAGTGTCACGCTCCGCGCACTCCGCTGTAAAATGTCTAAATTTTTTATAAGAGCTGTTTGCTTTCGAAACGTATTCAGTTAACCATTGTTCTGATTTCTATAAAATCTCAACTAAGGGATTTGAAACAGTGGTGATGCGTCGGTGGGAGGCATTACACGATAATTTGCCTTTACAAACTGAGGTGATAATGTTAACTGGTCGCCGTAAAGGGTTTTATAGCTGACGGACGTTTCGAGACTTTGTCCTTCGTCAGAGCGTATAGAGGAATTGTGGGTGCTTTATGGAAAAATTAAAGCTACACCATTATATTAGTGAGAACAGCGTAACGTGAAAAACAAAAGTATAAATTTTTGAATGAAAAGCGTTCGTTGATACCGTGGAAAGAAAAAGTGCCATTTGAAAGATAAATTCCTCAAATGGCTCAGACAAAGGCCAACACTCGAAACGTCAGCTTTAGAAATTCTTAACAGTTGCCGGTCTGCTCAAAATTCAAATCACCATTTCAAACTTAGTATAGTTAATCAATTACTGGGAAAACCGGCTAAAACAATGACGCTGTACTTTATGATGGGAACTCTTCGACCGCTCACGATCTTTGTTTTGTTTTGTAACTAATGGAACATCTGTATGATTTCCAGACTCAGTTACCTGCACAATCATCACAAGAGAAATTTCAGATCGCCCCTCAACCCTCTAATTCGTGAGAGACTGGTTTCTAATTTATCCTCACATTATTATCCTTGAATCAATTGTAAAGGTCATGAGAATAAGAGAAATGGTCACAGATCTAAGAAGTACCTGATTGTTAAACAAATTTTCCTAGTCATTATCAAAGTAACTGTAGAGTGAACATCGGTGGACAATATAAATATTATTGTCAGGTTTTATGGGGGTAACAACTCATTTGGTTGAACCCCTGGAAATTGTTTAAAAACAATATGAAACTCACCTCAAGTTTTGAGGAGCAATGAGGTGAAACCAAGTCCAAATCCAATGTGGCGAAACCAAAGACGAACGATACATAAAAGTATTCTGCGGTTCAGGATACAGCACAAGAATCTGACGCGACGGAAACAGAGACACAGTTATAGCCGGGGATTTCAATAACTTTTCCATGGGCGGCTGTGCCGAAAAAGATGAAACCCAAACACGAGAGCCTGCGCGTTGGCTAAACAGACAGCGGTAAGAGATCTTATGACAGGCGCTAAGCCGCCTATAACTGGCTTTTACTGATACTTCTGTGGAGCCATTGGAACTTATCATGATTACTACTCTAAATAATCACTTTTTCTTATGTTGCTGTTCTTTCTGTTTTGCGTAGAACACATTGTGTGAAATTTGACTATTCGGTAGCACAACTGTCATTCTTCATGACGGCCTGCTTTCAACATTTTAAGGAGAATACACATTTAAGTCTCGTTTTAGTATTTCAGTTAATAGTCCTTTCTTTTCAGGCCAATTATACATTTCATTCGCGTTGAATGTGTTCAAAGGATACGAAATCTAGGTTTTGTTTGATCTGGGCCATTTTTCCTTGACCTGAGTCAACTATATTTCGTGTGCGCAGTGATTAAAGCACAGCCTGTTATGCTGTTATGTCTTGAAAGACTCATAGTGCAACTCAACTAACCTCGCTATACGACAACATACATCCTGCTAATATAATGACAAGAAAATGGGGACTAGCCGTCTTCACAACCTGCAAGAAGAAGGCACATGGACCGAGTTAATTTGTTTTTTCGACTTAGTATAGAAATTTGCCAATAGTACATCACTGCGAGCTAACGGTAAATTCGCCACAACATTTCTAGCGAGATAATGATTTAAGCATTTTCAGCTGACCAGATTAAAGAAAAAATTACGTTGTGGAACCCCACCAAACTCACCCGCCCTACTGGATCCCTCCAACTCCGAATTTTCTAATCCTTAGTGGAAAACGATGCTCTATCCAAGACGACAGAGGTAAATTCTACACCCAGCAGAGAAATTTTCTCTTTGGAGTTGTCCATAACTATAGCTTTGTAGGAAAGCACTGACGGGAGAAGGGGGGGAATTTCTAACTCACTACTAATCAGGAAACTCACCTTCAATTCACGGAAATACAAAATAAACGCACTTATCCCAATGGCGGCCAGGATAGTGACCACAGTCAAACCCATCAACGCTCTCCTTAGCGGCCAGTTCAATGTTACAATGCACGGGGAATCATCCACGCATGCATCACAGCCAGGCTGGCACTTGATGCATTGAAAGGAGTCTGGGTTCGAGTAATACCTGTGACTTGGCTCAACGGCTGCGGCCTCGATTTCAGATCCGTTGAAATATTTCGCGTGAGAGGTAACGTTCGGGAAATAGTACCCAGGCCTACACGCATTTGTAGGAACCGGCTCTGAAACCGAGTCCAGTTACAGGCAGGCACTTTTTTTAGTAAAACGGAAAAGAAAGGGATCGATCAATATCAAACTAAAACTAATACCTCATCGAATCCAAGCTATAAAAAAATTTTAAACCTGTTTTGTTAATTAAGCACGATTTAAGATTGTTCCTTTGTGAAAGATGCATAAACTTGACCTCAAATTTGGCTTATTGAAAATAGAATTTACTGATTACATGAACCCCATGCAAAATATAGTCCCTGCTTGCTGCTTTTCATTCGGCAAAACCTTGTTGAACTAAAAGTTTTTCGCTGATGTGAATGTGGTACATGCTGTGAACAGGGCAAGTGCCAAACGGTACTATGACCGATTTTCATCGGACGAGGGGAGCAAGGCTGCTTGTAACACAAGTTCGCGCATGAAAACTGGCGAAAACAACTTGAAACAATGTAAAATTTACGGCAGTTTTATTCTCCAAATTCTCGTCTCTTCTGATCCTGACGAAATACTATGGTCTAAGATTGCAAAACTTCCGACTGTTGAAAGACGGTAGCTGCAAAATTTTGCAAGGAAACGGAAGTAACGGGATGCAGCTTTTACACGACAAGCTAAGTGTCGTGATTTATTGCTTGTTAGCTGGTGTGCAATGATAGCTGTCATTTTACTTTTTTCATGGCCACTTTTAATTGCGCATCATGTTGCAAAAGTGTTAATGACTAGTTCATGACATGTACAGTTGCCTCACCTGAGTGGTTTCATTTTTACATCGATGAGTACCAGCGAAAATTTCGAACTGAAACTTGCCCTCAGACCCCTTGTCACACTGATTTATGTCGACATTCGTAAGAGCGATATCAATTGTAGTCATGCCCCTAGAAGAGTCACAGAACAGGTAAAAACAGTAAGAATATCAACCAATGATTGTGGCTGGAATATTTATATTACACAAAGTACCCTCTTTCCCCATTCAAAGTGGTACAATCACAGGAAACAAAGTGAAACCAGTGTGCTGGGAGAGGGGCTGAAAGCAAGTGCATCCAGGATATAAGTGGTATTCACGCCCAGAATATTGCGGCTTTAGTGGTTATGTGCCGACAATTTTCTTGCTGAAAGTAGTTGTCTCTCTAGCCTCAGTCAATTACCCTTAAGAGTATTTAAGATATGATTCATGGTTCTTCGTTATAGCTGCAAAGAATTAGCTTGTGCACAAGCCCCGAGTAGTGCATCAAGACAACTTAGCTTAGCTTAGCTTGTGCACATGCATCCGGGTAGTGCATCAAGACAACGTTCTTCTCTTTGACCGATAAGTTGTCGAATCCTTTATCACATGTTTGTTTGCGATATTGTACTGATATAATATTGTGACTAGAAGTTTGGGCTGCCTCAGTCGAAAGAAAGTAAGGTGACAGGTAGGAAAGCAAACATTTCCTTGAGATTCAGAGGAAAGTCAGTGTTTGAATTGATTTCCCGCAATGAAGTTTATTTGACTTTTCTACCTTTTTTGTAAAGCCAGAGCTAAAAAATAAAAATTCTATTTATCAATTAAACCATTGATTTTTCTTTTGAATTCAAATAAACATTGACTGTAAAAGAAAAATTGTTCAATAAAATAAAACTGAAATGAAAAAAACGCAATTCAGGTAAATTTGACAGAACATCATTATTTCTATATATCTATATTACCACCTAAAGAGGAGATATCTAGTCTAAACTTACATGAATGAGATCGATCCATTACTGTCCCAGTTGCCAAGTATAGGAGAAGTGTACGTTATTAACCAGGCTCTCGCTGTGGTGCACTCGAAGTAAGGACGGCTCCATAGTCCATCGATAGACTCCACAAACTTGTGCGTGAGTTTTAGCCGTTTCGGTGCGGAAGAAATATTATTTTGTTCATAGAAGTATGTGGTTCGCTCCGGAAAAGGCCTTCCGCGTGATTTAAACTTCATTAGCCTCACAAATGCTTCGTGAAGATAACTCCAGCCGGCAGACAGATCTGTGACTTTAATGAAAGTATCGTTTGCGTTTCTGTAGGCGTACGGTGCATAAAACGAGTTGTTTATAAAGCTGTTATTGTCAAAAATGATCGCTGAACCTACAATAAGCGGGTCGTTTTCAAGGTTGTTCCTTACAATCGCGTGAAGAACTTCCCTGTGCGTCTTCAGCACTGGTTTCCCGGAAATATTCAATGTTTTAGCGGAGCCCGTTGGTAACAGATCGGAGATTAAATTAGCTGTACGAATGGCGAGGTTGGCTTGAGCGGTGTAGACGCTATTCTCGTATTTAAAATACAAAAGTCAAGCTTCTCTCGGCCAGCATTGTTGTGCAGTCGACAGTGCCGTTGTGCACCTCTTCGATGGCTTTCAGTGCCTGTCGCGCTGTCATGTTAAAGGCTCCTGAACGATCATCTTTCACTGGCGGACGGTACGGGTTGTGGATAGATGGATCGTCTTTGTAAAGCAACTTATCTGCTGCGTTGCTATCGCGAATAGAAGAAAATACAGCGAACGTGCAGAGCGAAACCAGTACATTTACCATCCTTGCGGTTCCACTGACTGTCTGGCGTCGCAAAACTGTTTGTTCTCGTCTTTCAAGCCACTTTTGATCAAAATGCAAATCGATGTTGTGATTCGAGGTGCTAATGGAATTTATACAGACCAAAACGAAACCTTCTCAACGCGAGCGACGAAATAGAATGGATCCAGTGCAAACAGACACATCGAATGTACATGCACGTTGACAGATTACCCAAGGATAGTCGTGTAGTTAATTACAAATCTTAATTGTCATCAAATCAAATCACAATCGAAGCACATGAAACATGTCACTGTAACCCAGGACAGTTTCGTAGTTTGTTTAGGTCGTAACCAATAAACTTAAGTCAACAAACGCAAGTAGTATTTCGAAAGCAGATGACTGCTATTAATAACAAAGTAAGCGACAAGAACGGTTGTGTCATACCTTCTTCACGTCGGGCTTTCTGACCCAGATATTTTTTTCCGTCAAAAGATAACTCAAGATTGATACGCGCTAGTTCTGCACCTTTGCAGGATTTTGTTTGACAGAGAGAATAGCGCTATTGTGACGGGGAAGTTAATAAGTAGATTGAAATCAAACAGACAAAATTAAAAAACAGAAAATTGACGCTGGTGGGTGTTATAAATGTTTGGCTAGGATTATGTCGGTCCTCTCTGTTAAATCAAGAACTGAATGTAATCGTCTCTAGCACGGAATCAATAAGACGCACAGTTTGAACTGTCCTTAGCAATGTAAAGCAAGTTGATGGAAATTACGTTTCTGTTCAAGCAATTGAAGGAGTGAACTTAATTAATGGGGCACTTTTCTATAAGCGCAAATAGAGGATAAACATCACCATGACATGTCATCTTGTTGATCGAAATGTTCAATACAGATCTCCGTAAAGTTAGACGTTTCAACGTCGAGCGCGCGTCGAACCTTTACGTTAGTGGGAGGGGAAGACCAAACAGCATAGAAGAAAAAATTAGACTAATAATAATTTGTAAAAGGTATCAAAAGCGAAGAGAGCGCTGTTAACCCTTTGACCCCTACGAGTGACCAGCATCTAACTTCTCCTTCCAATATCTCCTTCGAATCACACATTGAGGTTACGAGAAT